GCAGCCACCGGTGCGAAGCCTCCGGGTACGCTCGAGACATTCATGGGCATCTGGCGCGCGGAGGGTCTCCGCGGTATCAACCGTGGTGTCAACGCCGTCGCGGTGCGCCAGGTCACCAACTGGGGATCCCGTTTCGGTCTGTCTCGTGTTGCGGAAACCGGTATTCGCAAGGTTATGGACAAGCAGCACGGCGAGAAGCTCAGCGTGATTGAGAAGATCACCGCTTCAGCTCTCGGTGGTGGTTTGAGCGCGTGGAACCAGCCTATTGAGGTTATTCGCGTGGAGCTTCAGTCCAAGACTGTTGACCCCAACCGCCCCAAGAACCTGAATGTCGCATCTGCGTTCAAGTACATCTACTCGAACAACGGTATCAAGGGTCTTTACCGTGGCGTTACTCCTAGAATCGGTCTTGGCGTTTGGCAGACGGTCTGCATGGTTGCTCTCGGCGATGTGTAAGTTTTGCTGTTACTGCTCTTCGAACCTCCGCTAACGAATCTTTAGTGCCAAGGAGGCTGTTGAGAAGCTCACTGGCGACAAGGTTACCGCGAAGCATTAGACGGCGTTCGGATACTGGATCTAACGGGGTTGATGTTCTATGAAAGATCTATGCAAGTGGTCTGGCATCGGCCGTGGTCTTGGGACGAGAAAGCATGACGAGAGACATATATAACTATGACGTTCATAGCGCTATAAGATTATAATACCGAACAGGCTGAAAGTCTCGTGACATTGAGGCCTATTTTCAACCGCTGGTCCCCTACCACGAACTGTTTGTTGAGTATAAACCGTTTTCCGTGACCGACTTATTTTCCGTGCCCGCTTTTTCTTATTATGCTTGAGCAGTCACCCTAGTCAAGGCCAAAGATAAATACCCGAGAGTCTACATTAAGATAAAAATATGCAAAGTAGGTGTCCCAACGACAACTTAGGCTCTAGGGTATTCAGATTTTCCCTTGTATGAGGTACAGTGGTGAATGCACTAGCACGTGGTACACGCCCGGGCGTCTAACCGCGGGCCGTACCTACTTAGGTAGGATGGCGCTAGCTCACGTCACAACCAACCATCACCAGCTCTGTCTCTCGCCCACCACACGACACAAACTTCGCATTTTGAACACCACTTTTGGAGCAAGAATGCGGTATTCACCATGTTCCCACACATCGCCTGTATACCAACGGGTGATCACCGCGGAGAAAACCGGGTGAGTTGCGATGTTGCATGCGTGCCCTACTGAGTTGCCGGGAGCACGGCGAGAGCCTACCATGATCTTAGCAAAACACAGTCATACCGTTCACGTTCAGAATCTGCCGAATAATTGAGATTCGAATCTTTAATATTGCCGCTGACCCAGGATAGTTCGCCGATGGTGTCGCGCCTCCAGATTTGCGAGATTGGCGTTGCGACTTGACGGGCCTTTCGCATCAACATAACCTCTATTTTCTTGCCTGTGTCGATGAGCTTTATGTCTATCAACCAAGCTTTCCTGACCAGAGTTTATCTGATAAGCCTGAGCTTGTGCTGCACCCGCCAAGAACTGGCACTCGTGGGTATGGAATTGACCCATCAAACCCTCACTCTATATGTCGCATCTTGGTCGATTATGTCGGCAACGAAGAGATGCTCATGCTGGCCTGCGACGATGGCGACGTTATTATATATCGAACCCGAGAGATCCACCGAGCGTTGGAACGGCGCACCAACGTGCAGGAGCCTGCTGACGAGGACGGTGTCCATGTGTTTCTTCGCTCCAATGTCGGCAGAAGTGCTTGGGGCTTGGCTGTACAGCGCAAGACTCGCATGATCGCGATTAGTGCGGTAATGAGAACGTTTATTCCTCACACGCTCTGCTCCTCTAACCTCAACAGAACACTCATCAGATAACGATAATCGCATTTGCGCTCGCTTCCGATAACGGATTGGAAGTCTCAGACCACGATACCAAGCTTGGTTTCCCACACAGCAGAAGAGAGAACAACGTCTTTACCCTTCAGGCGACGAACAATGTTCCCGCAGTATCATTCTACGGTGACTCCGGTCGCTGGCTTTTGAGCAGCTGCATTGATGGCAAGACATCGATGTGGGACTTGTACACCAAGCAGGAGGTGGCTACATTCCAGTTAGGCTGGTGCGCAAGCGCAAGCAATCTCTCGAAGCCGCCTCGTTACATATCTCACAGGTTCCTGTGCGACTGTCCGGGCGCGCAAAATGTTCTCCACGGAGCCTGGGGTACTATAGCGTTGGACACGCGATCCGCATACGAGTTACCGTTGGACGAAGACTGCGACTTCATAGATGTCTCCGACCAGAAGAAACGTTTCAAAGTTTCCGAAACCACCTCTCATCAATATCATCCCGACACAGACGACGAAGAGGACAGTACAGATGACGAAGAAATCGAAGCAGTCAGCGAAGCGACCGAGACAGACAACGACGAAGAAGATATTGATTCGAATCACCAGCTTCTCGGGATGACCTTTGAGGAGTTGGCTCAATCTGTAAGTGTAGTCTCTACTGTATCTTTTGCAACATGTAATATAAAGCCCCCTCTTGTCGGTTGCATCCAACTAGGACGTAGGCAGAGAGTAAAGCCACGCCAACCTAGGAGAAAACTGAACATCCTAGAGTCTACGTTGACGTTGGGTGACCTACTTTGTAGGGTTTTGGTTTGACGTAGTCCGCAAGCCTGTTCAGTTTTTTCTTAGATGAGGTGCGGCATCACAGGGAACAAATCTCCTCTTCGTTCATATTAAAGTTAAAGACACGTTAGGTGACTAACGCAGCGCAGTTTGGCATAAGTGAGACGCTGTTGTCTTCCATTCGACCCGGAACATTGCGCAGCCCTAACAGAGCGCCGTATCGCCTGACTGATGACTTGAGGCCTATCGCAGAACAGATGGGTGGCCCATTCTTAATCTTCACCAAAGAGGACGTATTCCTCATCCAAGGCCTTTCCGCAACATCACTCAATGTGCCTCTCAAGCCCATCGTCGCGATAAGACGACCGCTACATCCAGGCCGATGGGTAGACTACCTCATGTCTTGCGACCGACACTGCTTCTTCTCCCAGATACCCGAGCTGGGCGTCTTCATAGTCGGTTCTCCGGCGGGCCGTGTCGGCGTCTTCAGTCTGTACTATACTAGAGACGAGAACACTGGGGAGCCGCGGTATGGCTTTGAACTTGAATACCTTCTGCCGTTTCGGTCAGGCAATGAGACGGAGATAGCGGGAGGGCCGAATGAACGGCTGCTTGGTGTGGCTGTAGCGCCTTTACAAGGCATGTTTGACACTTCAGAAGATATCGAAGTACCGGATCAAGAAGGGTTCACTAAGCCTCGCCGATGGCGCTTATTGATGTACTATATGGATCATACTGTATTGAGCTTTGAGTTATCGAAGCGGACGGTGGGTGAGTCGCCAAGCTTGGATGACATGGTCGTTTAGTATAGCAACCTAGGAACAAAACCGAACAGGCCTGCAGCCTACATGAACATGAAAACTTGCAAAGTAGGTGACCTAACGTCGATGTAGGCTCCAGGCCTGTTCAGACTCTTGCTTGTTTGGGGTGCTGGTATTGATTGTATGAGCACATGCTACGTACTCTTCCCGCTGGGCATTATCCAATGCCCTCGTCGTAGAGCCAAATCAAGATCATGGTTTTCTCTGGAATGAAGCGCCTAGCTCAGCATACCCAAAGTCATCAACACTAAAGACCCAGCCATACACCCACTAGTCTCCTAGTCTCAGATAAACCTCCAGCACTCTCCTCCTTGCCCTCACCATCAACCTCTCCATAGCTATTTCCTCGCTCTCCTCATCATCATCCGTTTCATCAGCCTCAGTCTGCTCAATCATGCTCCTCAATTTCTCAGCCGTCACACCATCAGCCGGTACACCTTTCTTGAGTAACCTCTTCACATTATCCTTGATGCGCGCATCGTTCATACATAGATACAACGTCTCAAGACGCGCAAAAGGGCGCAGATGTGGTCCAATAAGCGCGTAAGAGTCCAGACCCGAGTATGAGATTACGAGGCGTTGGATACGAGAAAGACTGGCAGACGGCAGGATAGAAGACAATGTTTGCAGACGAACTGTCTCAGTGGTGTTGCAAGCAGCTGTGAACCTCGCACTCAACCATATGATATCCCTGTCGAAGTTAAAGTAGAACTTCTTCTCATTTTCTTCTCCACCGATCTTTCGGCCGTGAAAGGAGAATAATGCGGTAAAGTTCTCCGAAGTGAAACTAACGAGTTCTCCACCTTCGTGTGCGATGATGAAGTTTCGGGCTTCTTGGTTGGTGGAGAAGAGCGGTGGAAGTGGGGGTATGTAGCGGAGACGCGGGATGTGGTCGATAGTGTTGTAGGTGTGGAGTTCGAGGAAACGGGTTCGCGGGGCGGGAGCGGCGTAGGACCAGATTAGTGCGCGGATGGTGGAAGGGAGGCCGGTGAATGTCGGGGTGGTGGTGGATGTCTGAGCCTCGGTTTCGATAAGGCTGGGGTTGGTGTATAGGTTCACAGTATCGATGTCGTTATACTGGTCAGACTGCGTGTTGGGAGGCGGTACTGGTGGACTTTTGATGTCGACGCCGCTGTCTTGTGGAGCGTCTTCGCTGTCAATGGACATGGCGCACGAGTTTAGGCTGCCAAAGCTTTGACCGGGAGAGTCGGTTGTCATGATAGAATCTTCGGATGGCTCTTTCTTCTTCGTAATATTCATCATAGTCCCAAAGGATCTCTTCAGCGATTCGAGCGCCATCCTTCGCGGTAAATATTGCAAGGTCGGGTGAGTGTTGTGCTTGTGTGTTGGAGCGGTATCAGAACCGAAAGGCTGTAGGCAGCTAACGGGAGTGCTGTTTGCGTCGGTATCGCGGAGCCAGATGAGCGTTTGTCCGAGTTGCGGCGACAGTACGCGAGTACCTCTTCTTCACATTCACCTACGGTGCTAAGTATACTATAAACGTTAGCCCGAATGTATCCGAGTCGATGTCGGTTCCTTGACTTACTCGAAAGCTGCTATCAGATCATCGCCATCGTATCTACTGACGGTTCTCGGCTGTTTCCAAGGCATTTCATTCGACCTTTTGGCGGCTAGATACTTGTTTGGTGGAGCCATTGGTGTGACGAACAGTTTCACTCCCTCGTAAAGCGACCCATGCACTTTGGCAATGAACTCGTCGAGCGCCTCCTTCGTTAGAAATGATACCCACCATATTCTCTTTCTGTCTCTTGCCAAGTTTGCCGCAATTGCATCGAGACCCACAGCAAGTAACCCATGATGGAGAGCGCAGAAATCCGCTAAACCGTTTGGTGTTTGCAAAGGCAGTTTACTTCCATCCCACGCGGTAATACGCGCATTTCGTATCCCACTATATTCATCATACTTCCTGTGTGGGAGACGTGATAAGCGGCAAATGCTTGGTTTGGGTAGTTCATGCAAAACTCTTCCCCAAAAGAGTGCGGAAAGAACAGCCAGAAATTTGACGGCATCGCCAGCGGCCCCATGTTTCTGATGCCTGGAGCGCCATCCACTTATTTTCAGAGCTTTCATGACTCGATCTAGACTGGGCTCACGATATTGAGTAAGTAATTTGTCGGGTTCGGCAGTCATGCTCTTGTCGGAATCGGCGACAAGCTCTTGTATATCGCACCAAGAAGTAAAAAGTGCTGCGATGGCCGGATACTCATCGCTGATCCATTTGAATTCCCTCTGCATACCAAAGCCCACCAGTATAAGTTCGCCTGGGATGGAGGACAAAAACTTGTGCAGTCTTGCGCCAGCAGTCTGCTTGGTCTCGTCGGTCATGGTTCCAACAACAGGCCCGTAACGCCGTTCTTGAATGCGAATGGTAAATGCCTCGATCTCGTTTTGATTGTAGAAGTGATACATAGACGAGAAGCAGCGAAGTGGCTTCGAACTGGGTCGTAGTACTGCGACTCCAAGCTCACCTGACTCCTCGCTGGAGCGGTATCGACCATCAGGATGCTGATTGAATCCTTCCATATCGAAGGCTACTACCGTGGCTCCAGCAAGGCGGTCTTGGATGTTAGCGAGGCCCCGAATCTCCGACTTGAGCAGTGGCTGCACATCGCGGTTCTTGACGAAGCCATAAATACCCTGTCTGTTGGGCTTCATCTTGTATTGTAGACACGAGTTGTTTTCGGGCAGAGGTGATTATAGAGACGTAAGTCCAAAAGATGGATGAGTAATGGTTGGAGACGGCTGTGGGCAGCATAAAGAATAATATAGAGTAGGTTTTGTTGCGACGGTGGTACCATGGTTGGGCGTGGCTGCCTGAGACCAACAGGACGGCCTCTACAGGACGACCAAAATTTCTTGTCGGAGCGACATTTCATTCTTCCACAATGACCTCCGACTTCCAAAAGACCCACGCGAAGACAGCCAGGAGCTTCAGGCCACAAGCAGTCCATAAGGCACCTGCGAGACCTACACTGCTGTGCGCGTACAATCCGCCGATGCAGGCTCCCAACAGCAGCATCGCGGGTGCAGCGATCCTCCTGTTGCGCTCCACATTCGAAATCTTGAACAGCTGAGGGTCAGAAAAGAGATCGCAGTAGTTGCTCGTAAGCACGACACTGGTCAGGCCGTTGTACTTCAGGGCGCGCGACGTGACTGCCTGGCCACTGGATTGGAAAGCGACCGAAGCGAGTGGAACAATCATTTGCCAATGAAGACCTTCCTTGGTGTCTTTCCCGACAGTAGCGATCAATGCAGCGACAGCAATGAGTAGCGTCTGGAACATGTAGGATACTATGAGCACCCATCTCTTGGCAGGTGAGAAGTAGCGATGAAAGCGCGCGAAGCAGAATGAGCCAGCACAGAACGCGACAATGGACGTCAATGCCTTGATCCAACGGATGCCCTCAGAAGGTGCGACAATGCCCAAGCCAAGATACACGGTGTTACCTGCATGTTGAGTAAGCTTCTAGTCTGAGAGAGATGGCGCGTCTTACTCACCCGTCTGCATGCTCACGAAAGAGCCCCATATGAAGACAGCCGAGCTATCCAGTAGCCCCGTAACAATGTAGCAATACAGCAAAACAAGATCTGCCCAGTTCTTCGTAACATCGGCATTCATGTGCCGTTTGAGCCGCTGCATAGTCCCCTTGCTGTCCGATTTTCCGCCGGCTGGTCCATTTCGGCCGAGAAGCGGCGTTTCCTCGTCTGCGCCGCTGCGCGTGGCGTCTCTGCGCGTTACGCTGCTCATGATTGCACGCGTGGGAGGAGATCGTGTAGTCGTATATTGGGAGGGCTGCGAGGACCGGTAGTTATGTCAGTTGGGGCGGGGTGCAGACAATCGCGTCAGCAGAACCGGGAAGACGCGAGCCAGCGTGCAGATCGACAGGCACTTCGACTCAAGCTTCAGTTAAGCTTTCGACGCCCGCTGCGGCAATTGCAGGATATCTCAGGACGTGTGGCTTGAAGACCTTCCTGATGTGGCTGTACATGTACAAGCAATGCGTTTGGTGTGCGGGGAAACGGTTTCGGTGGGTATGGTGCGTGGAAAAATGGTGATTGATGCGCGGAGATGGCGTGGGAGTGGATGGTTGATTGCTTAGTGTCAAGCAAGCATCATAAATAATCATGGCTAGACTGTCGTCATCGGCACACGGCATTGCAGGACGCGCAATGCACGCGGCATGTCAAAAGGGCGTCGTCTGCCGGGTGAATAAACTTTCGACTTCGCGATCCTCTTCAGCTTCTTCACTTGAGGTCAATTGAAGCCGTCATGCATCTTCCGTCGTTACTGGTCGCGCTTGGCGTATGTGGTGCCGTGGCTGCGCCACTGGAGCAACAACAACCGCTGGCTGGCAGTGCGCGACACCACGCAGGACCTAACAAAGTCTTCAACCCGTACAAGCCTGGCAACAATGATCCATTTGACAAGAAGATTGATTCACAAGGCGACAAGCTTCAGCCACTGCCCTACGTGAGTCCATCATTGAGATCATTCCTCCGCGGAACGACGAATATCTAGCTCGATGATGGTCAACATGCTAACAAAGTTTCCAGCGCAATGGTGACGGAGCGAGTGTTCTAGGGCCTCGCAACCGAGCGCGCGAACGACAAAACCCAGATCTCGTCCGCCCACCCAGCACCGACCATGGCGCGATCCCCAACATGCGATGGTCCTTTGCCGACTCGCATATCCGTATCGAGGAGGGTGGCTGGACGCGCGAGACGACTGTTCGCGAGCTGGGTACTAGCAAGGAGCTAGCCGGCGTGAACATGCGTCTTGAGGAAGGCGTCATTCGTGAACTCCACTGGCACAAGGAAGCCGAATGGGCATATGTCCTCGAAGGCAAGGTCCGCATCACTGCTCTCGATCCTGAAGGTGGCTCTTTCGTCGATGACCTAGAGAAGGGTGACCTATGGTACTTCCCCTCTGGCCATCCTCACTCGCTGCAAGGCCTGAGCCCTAATGGCACCGAGTTCCTACTCGTGTTCGACGATGGCAACTTCTCTGAAGACTCTACCTTCTTGCTCACCGACTGGATGAGACTGACTCCCAAGTCCGTCTTGGGTGAGAACTTCCGCGTTTCGCCAGAAGTCTTCAAGGCGATCCCCGAGAAGGAAAAGTACATCTTCCAGGGCTCAGAGCCCGGTCCCATCGACGATGAGGTTCCAAGTGGCGGCAAGGGATACAAGAAGTCGAAGATCCAATTTACCCACAAGATGCTTGCTCAGGAGCCTGTCAACACGACTGGTGGTCAAGTCCGCATCACCGATTCGACAAACTTTCCCATTTCCAAGACTGTCGCTGCAGCACACTTGAGCATTCAGCCTGGCGCAATCCGCGAGATGCATTGGCACCGTAAGTCACTCAATTACCCATCCATCGTTCCATACTAACTCTTCACCACAGCCAACGCAGACGAATGGTCCTTCTTCATCGCTGGCCGCGCCCGCGTAACGATCTTCGCCGCCAAAGGCACAGCGCGCACATTCGACTTCCAAGCCGGCGACGTAGGCGTCATCCCTCGCAACATGGGCCACTTCATCGAGAACCTGTCTGACGATGAGGACGTCGAGGTGCTCGAAATCTTCCGTACAGACAAGTACCAGGACTTTAGCTTGTTCCAGTGGCTTGGCGAGACGCCGCAGAGACTTGTCCGGGAACACTTGTTTGCGAATAGTCCTAAAGAGGCGGAAGAATTTGCCAAGGCGATTCGTGATGCGGAAGAGGATCCTATCAAGGATACTGAGGTTGATGAGGAGGATAAGGAGGAGTTGTAGGATGGGCCTGCTGTTGGAAGGCACCGGGATGCGGCAGATGGGAGATGAACTGGATTCTTGACGCTGAAGACGAGGAGACGGAGCGACTGTTCGTAAATAGCTTTACATCTGTAATACAATCTTGCCACATATACCAGTGCTACAAGTTCGATCAATTGATGCACGTGGGTTCCACTTCAGGACAAAAGACAAAACCACTTCTGTTCTGGAGAGGAATCCACGTGCATTAGTCGGTTGAACTTGAAGTAGGTGTATCAGTTGGCTCGTCTCAATTTCATGGTCAGATGAACTTATACACATGGTCAGCTCAGCTCTAGTCAAGGCCAGCCCAGCTCTTAGCGATGGTCGGGTGAACTCTTAGTCTCGATCGTTCGGGGATGACCCTAGCCTATTAGGTCTTAGTCATGGTCTGATGAGCTACTAGTCATGGCCGGATGAACTGCTAGTCATAGTCGGGTGAGCTTTCAGCCGTCGGGCGAGCTGTGTCCTAGGTCAACTCGGCTTCCGAGGTCTGATTAGCTTTGAAGGACAGGTTCACTTTCGAGGACAGCTCAACAATTCGCATGGTCAGGCCAAGTATTTGAATGGTCTGGTCGGATTAATTCATGGTCGGATTAGTTACATCTGTGATCAACTAAGATCGACTATAGCGTCATACGTGGTTTATTCGTCGCATACTTGCGCATCTTCACATTGTAGTCAGTGGCTACGTTGCCTCCTTCCTGCAAATCGTCAAATATGACGCGTGCTGAGGTAGTAATTCCAAATTTCAAGACATTGACTTAGGCGCAAAGCTGCACAACTACAATGTGAGCTTGAGCGCAGCCACAACGCAGCTACCCCGCTGTGCACCTCGTGAATTGCGAGGAGCTTATTGCGCTGACGTAGCCGCTACCATGGCGCGAAAGTACGCATAAAGCGGCAGAGCTTGCGGATGCTAGTATAGCTCGCCAGGCTAGTCGTGGGTGTACCATTTATACGTTCGGCATCTTGAACTTTGTTGAAGAAAAACCAAATGCGCAGCAAAACGATCTCGAATGCTGGATCTGACAACCTTCCCGTCTCCGGATGCATGCATCATCCATATCATGGCCATGCCCTGCGACGCATGTGCAAATGCTCTCCCCGCCTTCGTTGAATTGTTGATTGTTATTCCTATTGCGTAACGTCGTTGTTGTGTGCTAGCGGTTCCGCTGTGTGATCGGCCAGCATAACGCCCAGGACACAGGTGAACCATCTCAGGAGTAGCGGTTCAACAGGGTGATCCTTATCATCGCCTCCGCTTATGGGTGCCGCTGTCGAGATGCCGATGCCTGCGCTGCCAGGTGGCTACTGTCGGCGTCGTCGTTGTCGAAGGACGTGTAGGGCATAAAGAGATGCACCGACTTTGTAGCTATTGTTCAGCAAGTTCAATACTAGCACCTATCACGAATAGGTTCTAAGCCACCTCCCGCGATCGTGGACATGCAGGAGGGTAGGATTCGGGTGCATCTTGGTGCCTCGGCGCCTAGTCTCGTGCCCGAGCAGGCAACTGGTCATCCTTCGCAAGTCTACAAGGAACCATATAGGAACACGTTATAGTTGAGGTTCTTCGGCGGTAAGCTGACTTGGTCAGACGCAGGTTATGCGTGATGGACCCAGCAGGTCAAAACGGCGGTTCGGTCTTTTCGTGGTGCCCGAAATAATTAATGACGCGCACGCTGACGCAACCATAGGTATCATGAATAATATTCTGCCGGTGAATTTTCTGGAGGTGGGTGATTCGGATGTGGTTATGTTTTCGAGGTGTGGGAGTGGCGAATGAAGGGCGGGGGCATTGCGAGTAGAAATGGCTTCCGTCGTACACGTATAGGCAGCTGGACAGTGCCTGAGGGGCCGAGTCCGCCCTTCAAAAAGCACGCGGAAGCGGCAGTGGTGGTGGATGAAAAGCAGCTTGATGTTTGATGTGCGGTGCTAGACATGCACGGGGTGAATGTTGCGAGTACGCGCGGCGTACCTGTGTGGAGCGTCTGGATATAGCGCATGGGGATCGATACGCAATACGACCTAGGCAGGCGACTGAAACTGCTTTTACGGATACTGGATACGCGCTTGAGACGATCGGGACAGATAGGCCGTTGCCCGGTGCACAGGCGTGCAGCACGCGGTGGCGGCTGTGCCAAGGGTGTCACCCGCTGTAGTTTGGTGATAGCGTTGATTGCATTGCGGCGTGACAGACAAGTATCTCCCTGCCCTGCCATGGTTCGAGGTGGTGGGGAGCGCAGCAGGGCCGACTGCGAGATGGATGCCCTGGCTGCCTCGCTCCTGCCTGCCGCTGTGCATTGGCGGGTCGCGTCCAGGCTCGCATGGCCAGTCAGAGGCGTTCGCTGTGCGGGGCGACTTTCCCGCAAAAGGGTCCAAAGGGTCCAAGGTCCCCAGGATGCTGGCTGCACTAGGCCGCATGCGGGCTCATCTGGGCCTTCGGGACTTCGATTCGTGTTCCCAAGGGCTTGGCGTGCGCTGCGAGGACGATGCTGCGTTGCACCTGCCTATCGCGGGCCCGTGGGCACCTGGAGCAAAGGAAGCCGTTACCCACTCTCCTATTTCTCGTGCCCACGACGGCCCATCTATACGCTGCGCTGTGAGATTGATCTCCCGCGGCCTCAGGGTCTCGCGGGGCTTGGTCGCTCCAGGCTAAGCGCAGGCTCCATGGCGGGTGAATTTGCGAGCTACAGGGCCTTGGGCGGGCCCACTGTGCGGTACCGTTGGGAGTGCCTCCTTTGTTGCTCTTCCACTCGCTGGCACCTCCGACTCCCGCGTGCGTATGCGTGCCACCAAAGTGACGTACCAAACGGCTCCGCCCCCTTCGCAAGCAAACGCTCCAAGATTTCGCCTGGCCCGCGAACCGTGCGCACGGCGTAGGCGGGAAATCTCCCCAAAAAGTACCCAGGTTCGCCAGAGCCCTCGCTCGCCCGCTCCTGCAATCGTATATATCCTGCTGTCCCGCTGATTAACCAAACACGCCCACCCTCACCTCTCACAACCAGCCCCAGCCATCATGTCGCGACACCGAATCATCGCGCCCGCCGAGATCGCGCAAAAGATTGCCGAGGGCGAGCCAATCGTAATCCACGAGGGCTATGTCCTGAATCTCGGAGAATGGATCAATAGGCATCCGGGCGGCCGTCTCGCCATCCTGCACATGGTGGGAAGAGACGCGACAGACGAGATCAATATGTATGTAATGCGGGACGAGCCTAAATATCGCCAGCCCTACCAGCCCTTCCGCAACAGGCAAAGTTCGGCCACACCATGTCGCCGGATACTGCGGAAGCGTTGAGTAAGCACCCCAGCTTGACCTAATACTGACCTCACAACAGCTATCACACCAATAAGGCACTGCTTATGATGACAAAGCATCGCATCGGTCGTGTCGAGATGCCCTGGGCCAACATGGAACCTCCAATCCGCTCGCCGGACTACTACATCAATCTTGCGGAAAGAAAGCGATTGGCCGCGGCGCCAGAGTCCGAAAAGTCACGTCGCGGGAGGAGCGTCGACCTGGGATCCGTGGGTCTACCCCCCACCTGTTCGCATTTACCGTCCTCGCTAACATGAACAAGGCCGCCGCCATCATCAGCAAGAAGTTGATTGGAAAACCAGATACTTGTGTCTACCGCTCAAGTAGCAGGCCTGCCAGCGACCCCGAAAAGCTGCCTCTTATCCAAAGCGAAGATGAGATGGAGACACCAGTCTTGTCTGCCGCGGAAGAGAAGAAGAGGCACAGGGAGCAGTATGCCATCGAGCAAGAGGAGAGGGAGATCGAAGAAGGTCTCCGCGACAACCCCTCGCTCGACGTGGAAACGCAAAACACCATCATTCAAAGTTACCGTGAATTGCACCAACGGTTCAAAGACGAGGGACTATACCAATGCCGCTACTCAGAATACGCCAGAGAGTCGGTTCGATACGCTCTGCTCTTCGCTGCATTCGCCGGCTTCCTTTACGCCAAGTGGTACATGACCTCCGCAGTCTTCCTTGGTCTTTTCTGGGTAAGTCCTCTCCCTCCTTCTGGATCAACGCATTCTAACATAATTTAGCAACAAATCATGTTCACAGCACATGATGCCGGCCATCGTGGAATCACAGGCAACTTCGTCATCGATACCCTCATCGGCGCTTTCATCGCAGACTTTTGCTCTGGCCTCAGCATCGGCTGGTGGAAATCCAGCCACAACGTCCACCATCTCATCACTAACATGCCAGAGCATGATCCGGACATCCAGAACATCCCTCTGTTCTCCACCACTCCTACTTACATCAAGTCCGTTCTGTCATCCTTCTACAACTTCCAGTTTGTATGGGACGCTGCATGCGATGTCATTGTCCCTTACCAAAAGTACCTTTACTACCCGATCATGGCCTTTGCCAGATTCAACCTATACTTCCTCGGCTGGTTGCATTTGGTCTCACCCCGAGCAGCTCAATTGGGTGCAGCATGGTGGACACGCCCCGTCGAAATCGTCTTCATGTGCTGCTACTGGTACATCTTCGGCTACCTTCTCTGCTGGCTCTATCTTCCCACATGGCCCATTCGTGTCGGCTTCGTCATCATCTCGCACATGGTCACCATGGTTTTGCACGTACAAATCACCCTCTCTCACTGGGGTATGCCCACAGCCGACCTCGGACCCACTGAGTCTTTCCCTCAACGCCAACTGCGCACAACCATGGACGTCGATTGCCCACCCTGGATGGACTGGTTCCACGGCGGTCTACAGTTCCAAGCTGTTCACCACCTGTTCCCCCGCGTACCTCGCCACAACCTCCGCCGCGGCCAAGAGCTCGTCCGCGAGTTCTCGGCCAAGACTGGCGTCAAGTACAACTGCGTTGGCTTTGTCGATGGCAACAAGGTCGTGATCAGCCGCCTAGAGCAGATCTCGCAAATGGTCAAGATCATGGTCGAATGCCAGAACCACATGGCTGAGACTGGCGAGAGTGGATTGCACTAGTACGCGCAGGCGCGGAAGCAGTAGATTTTTGCTGGCGTGTTCGCTTCATGACGATGTTAGATTTGTAGACCTTTATCTCCTTTGTTTTGTGCATAATTAGCGAAAAGAAGGCTACCTCTAAAAACCGCACGAGCAATATACACGATATTTGCATATCCCTTTCTCTGCACCTGACTTGAATTTACATGTATCTGAACTACTGACTCACTGTAGGCACAAAACTGACTTGCATGCAATGGTGACAGGAGAAATAAGGGGTGTGGTCGGTTCGTTACATGGCTGTCACCGGGTAGTGGATTTCGGGAGTATCGCCTCGCAAGTAGAAGGTGTGCACGTCCGCAGCGCAGAAGCTTTCAGAAAAGCGGCAGCTAGGCAATCTTAACGTCGGCAATGTGCCTTGGGATAGGCTCACTAACTTATCGATATCCCGAGCCAACGTGCTTTGCGTCATCTCCGACCTGGGCATATCAGAGCGCTGCCGGATATCTCCGGTGCTCGCGCGGTTTTCAGGGTCCAACTCCTTCCATGCTCAGGCCATCAACACGCAATCCTCACTACGCACCGAGGTCCACAAATGCCCACAGCGTTAATATATCACCCCCTCTCTCTATCGGTATTCATGCTGCATATACGGTGTATTTCAGCGCAATAACTCGCATCGCTTCAGCTCAACTAACGGGGACGCCCGTGCGGGACGGTTGGCTGGCTTCTGCCGGAAGCTTGCTTTCACATCACAAGTTTTTGATGCGACTGGACATAGCGGACTTCGAGTATGCTTCTACGAGAAAGAGATGCGTTCTTTTGTAACCTGACACATAATGTACCCATGAGACAGTGCCGGCATCGGCTTGCCGATCCGCAGACGTCCATCGCTGAGGGGTTGGCTGGTCTCCAAAAACATTCGTCGTTGACGATAGGCTGGAATATGCGCAACTATACGGACTTGTTGGCTTCGAAGCCCGGAAAGAACACCAATGACGTTTGGCAGATTCGCTCGATCAACCAGCCAATACGTGGATATCAGCCATCTTCCTAAGCAGCGAACAGGTGCATGCTGGCAGGGCACTCAGCTGCAGCAAAGTAACCAACCGAGCCTCAAGCCACTTCTGAATGGGATTATTCTTTCGAATCAACCAACCAAGCTATTACGATCACAGTCGCTTCCTCAGAAATCCTGTGGTCATTGCCTACGCTGGATCATGCAAACAGAATACTCGCCAAGTTTCGCTCTTGCAAAAACGCTCGAATGGAACATCAATCAGACTCTCGGCTTCATCTCGTCTGCATACTGCTCACGGAGATGTTGAGTGAGGTTATCAAAAAGAGAAATCATCACGTACAGCTACCGGTCCACTGTGAAGTCACCAGCGACATGCCGACCTTTTCGGGCGCGCCGATACGAATGGCGACCTCTGCTATTACGAAAGCAGTATGTTGAGTCCTAGTGTCAGGGCATTTCCTTAGTGTGGCAAACGATCCCACGAGACTGACAATGAGCATGCTGCTGATTTGATGAACAAGCGGAGATGCCAATGGCAGTGCATGGTACCTGCGTTAGTTTTGACGTTCTTCTTGGTACCTAGAAGTGCTGGATTACCTCGGATTTCGCCTAAACTGCGGCATCGTGAGTCTTCACATCGACGCAGTCTTCGCGCTCTTCGACTTGCAAACACTTCACGCTTCGCAATAGGGCAATACTACCATTCTATGCTGACAAAATCACACCTCAGCATTCATCTGAAGTCTCTGTTCGCAAATGTCTCAACGACTCACCGGACAGTTTGCCCGTTTTGTGCACACCAACTCCACCACCACATCCACATCCCACATGCCAAGCATGGAGGCCGACCCCGACAGGGATTCGCACGCTACTCCAGCGTCACACTCGGTAAACCCGCCTACTCAAGACCACTTTCTACCAATCGTTCATCTCGAGGAGCAAGTTTTTGCCTTCTTTTACGGAAACTGAGTACCGCAATGTCCATCGCCAAGGCAATCCGCCGCCTTGGCTCGGCGCCCAGCCATGTAGGTGTATGCTCTGCAGCATCGACCCGAAGATGGGGATATAAAACTTTTGGCCCGTAGGCACTGCAGTTACTTCCTTACCTTACTACCTCTCACGAAACATCCTATTCGAGCCCTCAGGACATTCCCTCGTTACCTACATATACAACTCGATAAGACAACTACGGTCGTTTCTACAAATTCAACATGAGGTTCTCGGTCATCTCTCTCTTCGCTGCCGCTGCCGCCGTCGTAGCACAGGACACCGTCTCTGTGACTGCTGGTGGTGAGTGCGAGCCCCACGGCGACCACTGGTAAGACCATCCGAGAACATCTACTTCTTAGATCCAGACTGACAATATCAAGGCACTGCCCCGACGGCGTTCCGGAGCCCACCGGTGCTCCTACTCCAGAGCAGCTTGCTTCGCACTCCGCTGAGGAAGCCGCTGAGGAGGCTACTTCCGGCCCTGCCTCCACCATCGCCTCCACCACCGTCACTGTCGTCTCCTCAGGATCCACCATGATCACTGCCTCCGCATCCCACAGCCACGATGACGAGGACGATCATGACCACGAGGCCACTGCCAGCACTTGCGAGCCCCACGGCGACCACTGGCACTGCCCTGCTGGCGTTGCCGAGCCCACCACCGCTCCTGCTGAGACCGTCTCTGGCACTGCTACCGTTACCGGCGACGATGCCGCATCCGCTGCTGAGTCCAGTGCCCTTCCTGAGCAGACCGAGAACGCCGCTGTTGCCGTTGGCGCCGGTAAGGTCGCTGCTGTCCTCGGTGCTGCTGCTTTCTTCTTGTAAGCGCGGATTCGCTGAGATAGTTTGCTGGAACCTTTCTTGCGATCGAACTCTTAAATGAGTGGATGCGCATATGATGGATGAACTTGGCTCTACTACACGACTTTACCTGTACATATTAGTATAATGGGGCTACTTGATGGCATCCTAATCAGACTCAAAAGAAATGATCCTACACAAGAACTCACTTGAGAACATACGTGACGCGTGATTCTGTACTGCACAGATTGGCTTCATACTGAAGCTCGTTGTGATGATGTTAATGCTAAGCAACGTATGAAACACTTGGCTGACCAGCGAACTGCATGACATCGCGTTACGAGCCCCAGCTAAGGCCCTCTGTGTTCGCGCTTCTTCTAGACTTTCTAGAACCTCGTTGATGCAAGCCAATCTAGAACTACGTTCCAACCTCCCAGTCCATGCCACAATCATTTGAAGGTCATCTGGTACCATCAAAACATTTATCCAAGAACTAATTCAAATCACATTTCAGAAACCACGGCAAGATCTGTAGAACATACAACGAACCATGTCTCGCTCTCTACACACAATCCACGTCTGATTGTCTCGTATATCGACAAAGAAGCCGCCGAAACGCCACGAGACAAGAACAAAGCACAGTACCTCCTTGTCTGGCAAACAGAGATGTCTCAAAAAAGAGAGACATCACCATGCTACCATGGAATAGATGCTCACTGACATCTTGAACAAGATAAAAGTAGTGAGACACCAAAGAAGTACCTAGGTAGCAATATCATTTAACCCATATGTGATTACTTCTCTTCATAGCAGAGAAAGACAAACCTACCGTCTCACCACCTTCTCAAACACCTGGATAAATCCTCGTCACGATGGCATTCTCCTGTCTCACTCACATCTTCACCTCCCCCACAACTCTACAGCCCGAACCCACCCACACAGGCGTCATCCACCGGGTCCCTTTCCCACAGGCCCGACCCTCAACCTTCCCTCAGACATACAGCATGCCCACCACAGCAAGGCCCCCCTCGCTCACCAGCACTGCATACCGCGAGCACCTGACCTCTTTCAATCGACCTCCCGCTAAGACTACGGAGATAGAAAAAGGAATAAAAGACAGTTGGGTGCCAGAGTCAGAGTTCCGAGATAAGAACGGGTGGCATGCTGGTTATGAGCGGGCTACGCAGATGACCGTCAAGAGGAAGGGGAGGGGGGCGTTTATGTTTGAAGGAGCGATAATGGAGGGGTGGGGAGTCGATATCAAGGAGGGGGGTGGAGATGAGGTTGAGGAGGGGAGAAGCGGCGCGGGAAGGCTGGAAGATGGGTTTGAGTATCGGGGGTGGGTGGATGAGGAGATGGCGATAGTGAGTACAAAAGACGTGGAGGGGGGTGTGGTGGAAAGTGAAATCGTACATCAAGATGAGGAGGAAGTTGAGATTGAGAGCAGGAATGCGATGGAGGGGAAGAGGGATAGTGTGGGGCGAGCTCTATTCTGGAATAACTTCTAACCAACGATGTTTACATATTAGCCACATCAAATACTATGACTGTGCACTTTCATCCAGACCAAGCCTTCTTGCCAACATCGACGGCACATGATATATCTTTCTCGTATCTCCACTTTCGTATATACACCATCATGGTGTTGTCCGACCAGCCGAAGATCCGTCCCGCATGAAGCATTAAGCAAGGGATCTCCGCATACCAATAGCCCACTCCCCTCACCCACGCCGCACACCAAAACGAGATCGAAGGACCGCTTCGAGAGATCATGTGGCCGGGAGGAGTGACTATGACCACCAGTTGCGGGAGTAGGCGCCGTTGCCGCTATCCAACCAAATCGTTCGAGGACCATCTACGCCGCGTCGCTTCGACGAGATAGACTTGAGGATGACGGCTAGATGGCAATCTAGATCCTATCGCTATCCGCTATCGATATGCGGTTCTGTGGTATACGAGAAGAAAGGAGACGTACTGGCGAATGATGAGAGAGGTGAGGGGTGATGACCTTTGTTGGTTGCGTCTGAAGGACGAGAATGCTAAACGTAAAGATGTGAAGTTAAGGACGCGTGCGCAGAATCGATACTCTTGGAAGTACTCTCGTGCAGCCAGTAAGTGGAGTAAGTGGGTCGTAGAGCAAGATGTTGGTTTACTCAGAAGCCGCCGAAAGATGTGTATAAGAAAGCCAGTGAATCCCTCCTATTTCTCT